GGAGTGCAGTGATACAATCTTGGCTTACTGTAACCTCCACCTCCTGGGCTCAAGCAGGCCTCCCACCTCAGCCTCCTGAGTACCTGGGACTATAGGTGCATGCCACTATTCCTGGCTAATTTTTTGTATTTTTGGTAGAGATGGAGTTTGGTATTTTTGTTAGAGACCAGCCATGTTGCCCAGGCTGGTCTCAAACTCCTGAGCTTAAGCAATCTGCCTGCCTCAGTCTCCCAAAGTGCTAGGATTACAGGCACGAGCCACTGTGCCAGGCCTCTGGTTTTCTTTTTGTTATTGGTTTAAATTCCAGTATAGTCAGAGAACATATTCTGAGTTATTTCAATTCATTGATATTTATTGAGGCTTTGTGACCTAGCATATGGTCAATTTTGGTAAATGTTTCACATGTACTTGAAAATAATGTTTCTGAGGGCCAGGCATGGTGGCTCACACCTGTAATCCCAGCACTTTGGGAAGCTGAGGCAGGTGGATCACAAGGTCAAGAGATTGAGACCATCCTGGCCAACAAGGTGAAACCCTGTCTCTACTAAAAATAGAAAAATCAGGCGGGCGTGGTGGCGGGCGCCTGTAATCCCAGCTTCTTGAGAGGCTGAGGCAGAAGAATCGCTTCAACCCGGGAGGCGGAGGTTGCAGTCAGCCAAGATCGCGCCACTGCACTCCAGCCTGGGTGACAGAGTGAGACTCCATCTCAAAACAAAAAACAAAACAAAACAAAACAAAAAAGGAAAGAAAAAAAAAGAAAAAAATGTTTATTTTTCCATTGTTGGGTACAGTGTTCTGTTTGTCAGGTCAAGTTTGCTAATTGTGTTGTTCCTGTCTTCTGTATCCTTGTTCAGTTTTCGGTCTGACTGTATTCCTGTCTTCTATATCCTTGCTCAGTTTTTGCTCTGCTTTTGTAGTTAACATAAAAGGATTGTTGAAGTGAAGTCTCCCGCTTTCATTGTAGTGTTTTGTATTTTTCCTTTTAATTCAATTTTTGCTTTTATGTTTTGAAATGATGTTATTGGATACATACAGATTTAAAATTGTCACATCTTCCTAGTGAATTAAAAACAACATATTTGTATGCATGTATTTCCTTCCCTTCCTTATACAGAAGCTAGTGTTGTTTATATACTTGTCCTTCACGTAATGATTTTTCTTTCTGAAACCTCTACCGCTAAGTAAACCACCATTAACTGGAAAAAAATATTTGCATCAATTTCATTTAAAAAATTGTGATGCATTCCACCCAACCGAGGATACTCAGATGATTTTTACTGTTAGGAAAATGTATTCATTGACCAATAAAACAAGTTTAGATGAATAAAAACAATACTTTGAATATAAAAATACAGTTTCCATATACAATTTATTGTAATGAAGGTTTATTGGCCTTATTAAAAGAAGAAGACAAGATTTGACAGTGGGGGCTAGGTGTGGTGGCTCACACTGTAATCCCAGCACTTTGTGAGGCTAATGTGGGCGGGTCACTTGAGGTCAGGACGAGTATGAGACCAGCCTGGCCAACATGGTGAAACCTCGTCTCTACTAAAAATACAAAAATTAGCTGGGCGCGGTGGCGTGCGCCTGTAATCCCACCTACTCCGGAGACTGAGGCAGGAGAATCGCTCGAACCCGGGAGCCAGAGGTTGCAGTGAGCCAAGATCGCGCTACTGCACTCCACCCTGGGCGACAGGGTGAGACTCCATCTCAAAAAATAAAAATAAAAAATGAAGTCATAGCAAAAGTTACAGAGAAACACCTTGAGGGCAAAATAAATACTGAACCCAAAAGCACTTCCAAACACATGGAAATAGGCTGTGCACTCCTCCGACTTCAGAACCATAGAAGCTTCAGCCCTCGCGATCGGCGTACATAAGCAAAAGCAGGCATTTGGGATTTATCCAAACATGACATGCAATGCAGATTTCTTCCATATGGTGGTGTTGGACTAGAAACTGTTGCATAGTAAGTAAATCAGTGAGTGTGTCTTCGTGTGAGAGTGTAATGTCAAATGTCATTCCTTATATCGTGTTTACCCAGTGTATTTAGAGATGAAAAAGTCACTAAACCAAAAAAAGGAGTGTTGCCAAGAAGTCGTATAGCTTTTTAAGAGTGTTTATGGCAAAAGTCATTAATTGAACAGTACTTGAACAGGTAAGTCTGTAAACTGGACTTCATCTTGCTTTTTTCCCATGTAAATATATACTAGAGATGGGAGCAGTGGCTCACACCTGTAATCCCAGCACTTTGAGAGGCTGAATCACCTGAGGTCAGGAGTTCGAGACCAGCCTGGCCAACACGGTGAAACCCTGTCTCTACTGAAAATACAAAAATTAGCTGGGCATGGTGGTGCGCACCTGTAATCCTGGCTACTTGGGAGGCTGAGGCAGGAGAATCGCTTGATCCTGGGAGGCGAAGGTGGCAGTGAGCTAAGATCACACCACTGCACTCCAGCCTGGGCAAAAGAGTGAGACCTTGTCTTAATAAAATAAAAAGTAAAACATATTTGGGAGGCCAAGGCCGGGGAGGGCGGATCATCTGAAGTCGGGAGTTCGAGACCAGCCTAACCAAAATGGAGAAACTCCGTCTCTACTGAAAATACAAAAATTGGCCGGGCGTGGTGGCTCATGCCTGTAATCCCGGCACTTTGAGAGGCCAAGGTGGGCGGATCACCTGAGATCGGGAGTTTGAGACCAGCCTGACCAACATGGTGAAACCTCATCTCTACTAAAAATACAAAATTAGCCAGGCGTGGTGGAGCATGCCTGTAATCCTAGCTACTCGGGAGGCTGGGGCAGACTAATCGCTTGAAACTGGGAGGCAGAGGTTGCGGTGAGCTGAGATCGTGTCATTGCACTCCAGCCTGGGCAACAAGAGTGAAACTCCATCTCAAAAAAAAAAAAAAAAAAAAAGTAAAATATAATTTTGGAACAAGATGGTGAAATACTCTTAAAATAAGGATGAAAATGTCTTCACAGTCAGTCCAGGCAACACTGTGGGGAGATAAACCTTCTCCCATGCTGTGGTTGGAGTATGAATTGGCAAAACCTCTTTGGGAGGTAATCTTTCAATATATTATTTTTCCCCAAAAAATGTTAAATGAAAAATTTCAAATACATAGAAAAGTTGAAAAATTATACAGTGGACAACTGCATCACCACACTTAAATTTGACAATCATTAACACTTTTGCGTATTTGTTTTATCACGTATATCTGTCTACCCATCCAGCAAGCCATCTTATATTTTGATGCATTTTAAAGTAAATTGCAGGCTGGATGTGGCGGCTCACACCTGTAATCCCAGCACTTTGGGAGCCCACGGCAGGTGGATCACTTGAGGTCAGGAGTTCGAGACCAGCCTGGCCAACATGGTGAAACCCTGTCTCTACTAAAAATACAAAAATTAGCTGGGCGTGTTGGCAGGTGCCTGTAATCTCAGCTACGTGGGAGGCTGAGACAGAAGAATCGCTTGAACCTGGGACACAGAAGTTGTAGTGAGCCAAGATTGCACCACTGCACTCCAGCCTGGGAGACAGAGCGAGACCCCATCTCAAAAAAAAAGAACTAAATAAAAATAAATTGCTGACTTACGTTTAATTCAACTCTAAACATTTCAGCATACATATCAACAAAATGTGTTTGCGTTTCTTTTGTAAGGTAATATTTACATACAGTGACATGCACAAATTCTAAGTGGACCATTCATTGAATGTGCTTTAACACGTGCACACCTTGGTAATTCAAACACCCATCAAGATACAGAATATTTTCATCATTCCAGAAAGTTCCTTCTAGTCCCTTCCCAGTTAGTCTCATCCTGTTAGGCATTTTTTTTCTTTTTACTATAGATTCAGTTTTGCTGGTTCTGGAACCTCATACAAATGGAGTTATACAATATGATTTTTGTTGCCTTCGCTCAACAAATCTGCTGTGCTCTGCTTGAATTCCCTTTCCCTGCATCAAGGTCATAAAATTCCTCCAGAAAGAAAGCTGAGGGTAATGACAGGGCTCGTGTTATTTGTTTGTGTTTTCTAGAGATCACTGCCCTGCGCTGCCTGTTGTCAAATGTCTGGAAACATTTTATCGGTTTTGTCTAGTGTTCTAGTTGTTTATGGTGAAAGAATTAATCCAGTACCAATTATTCCTTCATGGAAAGGCCAAATAAGGGACAATTTAAGAACCAATATAGTGATAACAGATTATAACCATTGAATAAAATAGAATTCGTGAGCCTATTCTGCTGTAAATAAATTAAAAAAAAAAAAAGAAAAAAGAAGAAGAAAGAAGAAAGATGTAAGGCTTCTGCCACTCGGCATAATGATTTTTGTTGTTGTTTTGAGACGGTGTCTCGTTCTGTTGCTCAGGCTGGAGTGCAGTGGTGCAATCTCAGCTCATTGCAACCTCCACCTCCCAGGTTTAAGCAATTCTTCTGCCTCAGCCTCCCGAGTAGGATCCTATCGTAGGAATACACCACAGTGGGTTTTTCCCTATTCTCCTGTTGATGGACATTCGGGTTCTTTGCAGTTTGGGGCTCTTCCGAATAAAACATTCTTGTGCAGGCAATTTTGGGTACACATGTTTTCTTGGTCGCTTGAAGGGGTACATAGAACATACGCAGGCCCTCTTCCTGGGGCTCACAGTCTACTGTCACTTCGGCACAAGACGCGGTAATGTGAGTACGTTTTGCGTGTCAGGTGCGGAGATGACAGTAAGAGGCGTGAGGAGGTGGGAAGTGCTTCTCTGGGGAGAGCTAGGCGTGGCTTCTTGGAGGACGGGGGCTCGGGTACTGGTACAGCTTGGTTTAGTAGGAGAATCAGAGGCTCTGGGTCAGATACACCTGCGTCTCGTCTTTCTCTCTCTCTCTCATACACACACGAAGATCCTTGGGGAGTCTCACTTTTCTCAGCTGTAAAACAGGGTTAAAGACGCCACAGGATTTGCTGGAATCATGGGAGTAAAAGGCCTCTTTCATTAAACGCTCCTCTTTTCCCTCCAGGTCTGGCCCCGCTGGCAGCCTTCAATGTGGATGTGGCCCGGCCCTGGCTCACGCCCAAGGGAGGTGCCCCTTTCGTGCTCAGCTCCCTTCTGCACCAGGACCCTGGCACCAACCAGACCTGGTGAGTAGGGCCGGTGGGCAGGAGGCCTTCAGACTGAGGGGGCTTCCGGGGAACCTGAGATGGGCCCCAGGGACGGCCATGGCACCCCACCCCACAGTCAGGAAAGGAACTTTCTCTCTCAGAAGGGCATGCAGGAGAAAGAGAAGGCGTGAGAGAGGCTGTGGGCATCCGGCCAGTCTGTGGGGTCCATAGAACCCCAGCCCCGCGCCTCACTGGGCCTCTCCCTGTTCCATTGCCTAGGGGGAGGGTGGACTTAAAGACAATTTTAAAATAATGCATATTAAGGCTCTTTTGTTCCTTATGGAAGTAACACATGTTCAATATAGAATATTTGGAAACAAAAAATAACAAAGAAAAAACTGGGCCTGGCACCATGGCTCATGCCTGTAATCCCAGCACTTTGGGAGGCTGAGGCCGGTGGATCACCTGAGGTCAGGAGTTCGAGACCAGGCTGGCCAACCTGGCGAAACCCTGTCTCCACTAAAAAAAAAAAAAAAAAAAAAAAATTAGCTGGGAGTGGTGGCGGGCGCCTATAATCCCAGATTCTTGGGAGGCTGAGGCAGGAGAATTGCTTGAACCCAGGAGGTGAAGGCTGCAGTGAGCCGAGATCGTGCCATTGCATTCCAGCCTGGGTGACGGCGCGAGAACTCTGTCTCAGAAAAAGAAAAATAAACAAACAAAAAAGGTTTGTGGTAGGATTGTTTGGAATCATGGAAGACTGACAATATTCCTCATTAGGAAAATGGGAAAAATACTGATATAACTCATACAATGCTATACTAAAAGCAGACCCCCTGAATGAAGCCAGTGCAATGGTTGTTCACCTGGATCCATCTGGAAACATACTGTGAGTTGAAAAAGGCAAGTTGTAGAGTTTAATATACAAAGGTTGGCGGGTGCAGCGGCTCACCTGTAATCCCAGCACTTTGGGAGGCCAAGGCGGGTGGATCACATGAGCTCAGGAGTTCGAGACCAGCCTGGGTAACATAGTGAGACCCTATCTACAAAAAACGTTAAAAATTCAGCCGGACATGGTGGCTTAAGCCTGTAGTCCGTCCTAGCTACTTGGGAGGCTGATGTGAGAGAATTGCCTGAGCCCGGGGGGGTCGAGGCTGCAGTGAACCATGATTGTGCCACTGCAGTTCAGCCTAGGTGACAGAGCGAGACCTTGTCTCCAAAAAAAAAAAAAGTAAGTAAGTAAAATATGCATTCCCTCAGATGGCGATGGTGGCCATGTGCTGATGTAGGAGTATGTCTGTAGTTAGGCGAAGCTCTGGCATAAAGGGTCATGAGATCTGAGGCTCATTTCAATTTCCCATGTTGTCACCAAAATGACTTATTTATTTATTGGAGACCGAGTCTTGTTCTGTCACCCAGGCTGGAGTACAATGGCGTGATCTTGGCTCACTGCAACCTCCACCTCCTGGGTTCAAGCGATTCTCCTGCCTCAGCCTCCTAAGTAGCTGGGACTACAGGTGCACGCCACCACGCCAGGCTAATTTTTTGTATTTTTAGTAGAAACAGGGTTTCACCATGTTGGCCAGGATGGTCTTGAACTCCTGACCTCAAATGATCTGCCCACTTCAGCCTCCCAAAGTGCTGGGATTACAGGCGTGAGCCACCGTGCCCAGCCTCAAAATGACTTCTAGAGCTGTGTTGTTTTAAAGCCAGGTCTGGTCAAGGTTTATGTATTATATATTGCTGTTATGTCTCTGTCATTGATTTCAATCCAAAGCAGTGATTTCTCCCCCATTTTTTTCTGGGTGGTTGTAGGGCTTTTCCTGTGTATACTCTCCCACTGCAGGCCCAGCCTAGGATGGTGACCTCCTCATCCCACCCCAGCCCATCCAATTGCTTTGCTTCTGGTCAGTGGTCAAGGGTTTCTTTCATACCCAGCACACCGGAGCAAGTGAGCCCAGGGTTCAAACAGGCACTGGGGCAGAGCCAGGTGAGGAGCTCAGGGGTCCTGGCTGGGCAGGGCAGGAGCTTTGCTTGATAGAGGATGGGTGGGTCGTGGTGGCTCCTGAGGCAGCCTCATAGGCCCTGGGAGTTGGGCCATGACCCTGACAGCCAGGCAGACCTGGATCCTCTGATACTGTGAAATGTGTATTTGGTATTCCAAGACGGAATACATATTTTACAATATAACACATAAAAATATATTTGGTCTCAAAATAAATATTTGGTCCCATTTTCCGGCATATACTCCTAAAATCTTTGGAATCTCCAAAGTAATAAATGTCTTTTTCTTTGCTAATGAGTTGACGGGTGACCGGCAGCCCCCAGATAGCTTCAAAAGGAGGGCTGGTCACTGGAGAGACCCCAAGCAGGATCAGAGGCTTGGGACTTTCAGCCCCACACCCCCATCTTCCCGGAGGGGGAGGGGCTGAAGGTTTAGTTGATCACCAGTGGCCAATGATTCCATCAATCATGCCTATGTAATGAGGCCTCCATAAACACTCAAAAGGACAGGGTTTGGGGAGCTTCTGGGTAGTGGAACACATGGAAGTTTCTGGAGGGTAGCCCCGGAGAAGGCATGGAAGCTTTGCCCCTCACCCCCACTTTGCCTTATGCATCTCATCTGTATCCTTTGTAACATCCTTTTTTTTTTTTTTTTGAGGCAGAGTCTTGCTCTGCCACCCAGGCTGGAGTGCAGGAGCGTGACCTCGGCTCACTGGAACCACTGGGTTCGAGCAATTCTCTTGCCTCAGCCTCCCTAGTAGCTGAGATTACAGGTGCGCACCACCACGCCCAGCTGAGTTTTGTATTTTTCGTAGAGACGGGGTTTAACCAATGCTGGCCAGGCTGGTCTTGAACTCCTGGCCTCGTGATCTGCCTGCCTCTGCCTCCCAAAGTGCTGAGATTACAGACATGAGCCAAGGCACCCAGCCTGTAATGTCCTTTATCATAAACCAGTAAATGTAAGTAAGTGCGTCTCTAAGTTCTCTGAGCCACTCTAGCAAATAAATCGAACCCAAGGAGGGGGTCACAGGAACCCTGATATATTTTGTTGGTCACAAGCACAGGTAAAATAACTAGGGTCTTGTGATTGGCCTCGGAAGTGGGGGACAGTCTTGTGGGACTGAGACCTCGACCTGTGAGGTCTGATGCTACCTCCGAATAGAGCATGTTGGAATTGAGTTGAACCTGAGGACCCTCAGCTGCAGTTGGCTGCCAAAGGACTGCTTGCCTGGTGTGGGGGGAAAACCCCACTCACCTGGGGTCACTGGACTGTTTTGTGTTGTGAGAGTTGCAGGGGAAACAGAGCTCAGTGTTTCCAACATCATTAGAGAGTCCTTTCTGGATCCTCGTTTCATTGGTGCAGTCAAAAGTCTGGTCATTGCCAGGCGCGGTGGCTCACGCCTGTAATCCCAGCACTTTGGGAGGCCGAGGCGGGCGGATCACTTGAGGTCAGGAGTTCGAGACCAGCCTGGCCAATACGGTGAAGCCCCGTCTCTACTAAAAATACAAAACTTATCTGGGCATGGTGGCAGGTGCCTGTAATCGCAGCTACTCGGGAGGCTGAGGGGGGAGAATCGCTTGAACCCGGGAGGCAGAGCTTGCAGTGAGCTGAGATCGTGCCACTGCACTCCAGCCTGGGCAACAGAGCGAGACTCTGTCTCAAAAAAAAAAAAGGGTGGTCACCATTAGATTGAAGTGTTAAGGGTGGGGCCAATTCATTCATTCATTCATTCATTCATTCAGTATTGATGGAGCATTTACTCAGTACCAGGCAATATTTCAGGAATAAGAGAGTAAGGGAGACATGGTCACTGCCTTCATGGAGCTCCCAGGCTCATGAGGGAAACACAAGCCAGACAATGACAAGAGAGACAAGGACCCCACAAAATAACAGCTCTGGTGGGGGACTTCCGAGGTACGGGGGGAGTACGGAGGCAGGTGTGTTCATCCGCGTCTGCTAGGATTTGCAGGGTGAGTGGGAATTAGCATGAGAAGGAACAGGAAGGGGATTGCAGGCACAGAGAACAGCTTGGTCAGAAGCCTGGGGGCCGGCTGCGTAAGGTCAGGAAACTGAGAAAATGACCTGCGGCTAAAGCTGAGAGCAGAAAAGGAAGCGGGCAGAGGTGGGCGGTGCCTGTCACCCAGGCACTGAGGGTTTGGAGGAGTCAGAGGGAGCTGGGAGAGGTGGGCGGTGCCTATCATCCAGGCACTGAGGGTTTGGAGGAGTCAGAGGAGGGAGCTGGGATAGGTGGGCGGTGCCTCGTCACCCAGGCACTGAGGGTTTGGAGGAGTCAGAGGGAGCTGGGAGAGGTGGGCGGTGCCTGTCACCCACGCACTGAGAGTTTGGAGGAGTCAGAGGGAGCTGGGAGAGGTGGGCGGTGCCTGTCACCCAGGCACTGAGGGTTTGGAGGAGTCAGAGGGTTTGAAGCCAGGAGGGGCGGTGACGTTTTCAGGGAGTTTTGCGTGGCAGGAAGATGAATTAAAGCTCAAGATTGTGTTTGGTTTGGGTAAAATTTTTATCAACATATACCATACAGAAGAATGCACACCCGGCCGGGCACAGGGGCTCACGCCTGTAATCCCAGCACTTTGGGAGGCCGAGGCGGGTGGGTCACCTGAGGTCAGGAGTTCAAGACCAGCCTGGCCAACATGGTGAAACCCCGTCTCTACTAAAAATACAAAAATTAGCTGGGCGTGGTGGTGGGCGCCTGTAATCCCAGCTACTTGGGAAAGGCAGAACAATCGCTTGAACCTGGGAGGCGGAGGTTGCAGTGAGCCAAGACCACACCATTGTACTCCAGCCTGGGCAACAAGAATGAAACTCTGTTGAAAGAAGAAGGAAGAAAGGGGGGAAGGGAAGGGAAGGGGAGGGGAGTGGGGGGAGGGGAGGGGGAAAAAAGAAAAGAAAGAAAGAAAAGGAGGGAGGGAAGGAAGGAAAGATGCACACCTCATAAGCATGCAGCTCAGTGAATGTCCACAGAGTGAAGCACCGTGTAAGCAGCGTGCAGATCCAGGGCGAGTGAGCTGCCTGGCCTAAG